AATAGATTTTGTAAAATTCAGAAAGCCTATGCGTTTCTTTTTTTTGGATAGTATATTACCAAACTATATTCTAACGAGTATAATCCTGCATTTGACTGTCTTAAAAGAGGGATTTGTACAACAAGAAATCGTCTCTTGTTCCGCCTCTTGGGGGCTAAGAATTATGCCATTCATTACTGCTGCCGGCATTGAGCTTGTTAATGTATCTCATTCCCGACTTCTTTCTTCTCCTCTTTGGCAATTGGTTAGGCCTCAAGTCGACCTTACATTTACGAAATCAGAAACTAATGAATTACAATATAAACAAGAATATGTAAATATAATACTTACAAATCCTTATTTACAGATGGATTCAAGGATGGTGGCGCAGTGGCTTGTGTCACTGTCATTGGATCCAGAACAATTACCACATAACAGCTCAATTTTCACAGTCGAAGCAAAAGTCATATTAATAGCCTTAAAATATATTCAAATCTTTCGTGCCTTCAGACTATTAAAACGCTTTCTTGCAAATCTTTAAATCTAAATAAGCGAATTATATAATGATCTTGCTACTGGCCAATGCGTCATCGTCTTTTGTTGGTTACCTAGCTACGTTGGCGTTTCTGGAAACACAATGGTCGATCTTGCAGCTAAGGCATATCTCAACACATCTGTGACGCCACTTCTTATTGCATACTCTGATTATTAAAGCAATCATCAGATCTTATATCTGTGATCTGTTGTAGAAGATGTGGAACGCTCAAGTAGTATTATTAAATTGCATGCCATCGAACAACTATTACCCATAATCTTGATACGCAAAAGAAGTGGGACACACAAGTATGTGTTAAAAAAAATCATATACAGCCAACTATCGGTTACACCTACTTGGGTTGTCAGTCAAAATTTGAAGAGGTCATCATGCGACGATGTTGTATTGGCCATACTAGATTTACTCATGAATACCTGTTAAAAGATGAGGATCCTCCGTTTTGTATCCCTTGTGATGAAAGAACCACAGTCAAGCATGTCCTGCTTGACTGTATTCATTTTTCCATCACAAGGGATAACTATGTCAAAGTGACAACAATTGAAGACCTTTTTACTAATATTAATTATCATTTAATCATTTACTGTTTAAAATAAATAGATTTGTTAGATACATTTTTTATGGCAGTTGTGTAAATATATAAATATTTTATGATTAGTAATTTAAATTAACAACTGATATTGTTAATGGTTGTATTCTCGAAAGGAGTTAAATCACTGTAAAATTATTGTCCTCCAGAGACGGAACGTAAGTCCCAAAACAATTATAGTAAATTTAAACGTATTACTATTTTAAACTGCAGCATAGGTTATTTTAATTTGTAGCTTGAATGTCAAAGATTGCTAACATTGAAGGGATGGTGAAAACCCAGCTAGGGTCCATGCAGGAATCCAATGCAATGTAAGTCCCCAATGTTACAATGAATGACAGTCCAGTTTTTTATTGTAATTCGATTGGGTCACAAATCTAATATATTAACTAAAGGTCTATAGTCACCTAATTCTTGATCATTGTAGATATGCTGATTGAAGTTTATTGACAGCTGTTTAAAGTTCAATGTAGCCGAAGCCTCCTGAGTTGTAGGTCTTGAAACGTCGATGTCAGCAGACCGATGAGCGCAAATCCAAAGTCGTTTTCTCATACATCTCAACAAACGTCCCTTACGTACCTACTATACAGCTCTAGACATTTTTTTGTAACAAAACCCATACTACCCGACCAACTTCTCAGCGCTTTCAGAATCAGACCGGAAGCAAAAGACACAAAGGGAGGCAACTCCGCAGCCCACTCTTAACAGGTGACATTACATAGCCTAAGTTCAAGATGCGAGTTCAAATCCATGTTCAGCGCTTTTGTGACCCGCAATAACTAAAAGTTATTAATGTGAATTTTTGTTCTTTCATTTTATTGTCGGGGCGGTGGGGTAGCCTAATGGTTAAAGCGATGGCTCGTCACGCCAAAGACCCGGGTTCGAATCCCCACATGGGCACAATGTGTGAAGCCCATTTCTGGTGTCCCCCGCTGTGATGTTGCTGGAATATTGCTAAAAGCGGCGTAAAACCAAACTCAGTCAGTCAGTGAGTCATTTTATTGTCGATGTGGCGATCAACACTATTTTAAAGGGATTCATGTCGACATGCTCATAGAATTTTGTGGACTAAATGTTGTTGGAATCTTACGATTCAAACACACAGATGTGTACAATAATATATCGAGGTGGCTGGCATATATGGCATTCCAATTGCCAAAGTCGAGGAATGCTGCAGAGAGTTACACTATGGCATGTTTCCTATTGTTGTATCTGGTGCATTTCTCATCAATTGAAACGAGAAATCGCTTTCTATATCAATATGAATGTATACATGTTTCTTGTAAAAAAGCGAGAAAACCTTTTTCTATATCCATTTCTCCTATGGATATATAAATGCTTTTCTCGCTTTTATTTTGAAAAAAAACTATGCGTGTATTCATTATTTTGATATTGATAAGAAAATTAGGCGTCGCTGAAAACATAATTGTCTTCTCCGAGTTGCCCTAATAGTTTATGACGCAACAGTCGCTCAAGCTATGGATTTGGCTCGTAGATCAAGTTAAACTCATTACCTCGCTCTATAATTTTCAGTGGCCACATCTGTCGGGCCTCAATTCAACCTCTGAGGACCTCGACACACAGGAGGACAGGTACTTCAACCCTATCTTGGCATACGATAACGATGTGGACTACCAGGAACTTCAAGGTGCCTACAGGTTCCACTTCACCCCTCGGAGTGGTGTGTCCAAGTATCACTCCAATGAAGAGGATGTCAGCATCCACGACTCCTCCAGTGACGACTCAGCCAAGAGGAGATATAATTGGAAATTCTGTGTTTTCGTTGTCCTCCTTTTTCTCCTCGTCGGTAGCGTCGTCAGTGCCATCATTGTATCCGTCATCCGTGAGTGTACATCGACAGTCACCTGTAACGGTGTTGTAGTACAGAAGTTGTTGCCATGAAGTATCCTTCTCACTGCACTGAAAGTTCAAGTATCACTCATAGTGTTTAAGAATACAATTGAGTGTTGCCGAAAAGGTTGGGGAAGCCCTCACAACTATCTCAATATAGAACGTTGCAGCCTTTGGAGCTTACACGAAAAATTTGGCTTGCTACGCGCCTGGTCACTTGTAACGATGTTATAATACATAGAAAATACAGATCTATGACAGCTGTTGTCATGAAGTACTAGTATCCTTCTCACTGGACTGAAAGTTAAAGTATCACTCATAGTGTTTAAGAATGCAATTGTGTCAATCAGAACTTAACATACTCAAGTTTGTATTATGCATGGTGTGGCCTACAGTAAAATACTATGTAACTCAAGCTGTGATGAACATTTCAGGTACACAGAAGCCATCCGAAGTAATTCCAGTTGGTAAGTACATAAGACGATAAGAAAAATAAATGAAACCTCAGGCCCACCCCATTCGAAAGTGAAAGTCCCAATACAAACTGAATCTACAAAATACCCAGAAAATAATGACACCTTGACTTCAGCAACGGCACCTAGCCAACACTGACACTTTAAATAAAACCAGCGAGCGGATGTTCATGTTACCACGGAGGTTTGCATGAAACGTCCCGGCAGACAAGTGATGGACAATATGATCGCTCTGTCCGAGGCTGATCTAATTCAGTCGCTTCTTAGGGCAAGCATTAGAAAACTGAAGGCCTTAGGTGGGCCCCAGGACAGTACAACTATCTAGCTGTATGGCATAACAATGGACTGAGATAGCTGGTTGTTAAAGTTTCTCCACATATACCATGACCTTGCGTCACCCCCCTCTGACCTCTTGTTTCCAGCACGCCTACAGTCCAGTCTCCGAGTGACGGATAAGACGTACACGCCTGAACTCGCCGATCCCTTAAGTCCTCAGTTTAAGGCGGAGGCTGCAGAATTCTGCAACCAGGTATGATGAATTAATCAAACAAACAAGCAATATAATAATTATCGAATTATGACGTATAGAAAAAGTGAACGAATATCTTATTTAAAGAGTAAGCTATCTTACATACTGAAGACGCACCAATGTTAGCTGGATAGTTCACAGTAATGGCCCGTGTAACAATGGCGCGTTCTTCTTACAGATTAAGGAGGCGTTAGTCATTGACAGCTCCCCATTGAAGGACAAGGACTCTTCCTGTAAAGTACTGGAGATAAGGTAATATCAACAGCAAATCAGACTGTTTGTCCTGTCTCTTGAAGGCCATGGTGATTGTCAATATCAACACCATACAAGTTTTGAGTGGTCGTGATGTTGCACAGAATATCTCTCAGCATTCTACATATCACACGACACATCAGACAAGACAAGGCGGACATTGACAAATGCCGCCCTTGTGTTCTATCACTGATTAACCATGACTTAACCAATTAATCCTCAAGGTTTTAAACATTGCTTATTTTCAGCTATAGTTTTGACATTGGGTTATAATGAACATAATTGAGTGTTGATTTTAATCTATTTGTATATCTTATTAAATGCTGATGTGATGTGATGCTATGTTGAGAAAATCGACATTTAATTTTCTAATACCATCTTTCCAGAAACGGCAGTTTAATCTTTATCTACGAGATTGTAGTGCCACAAGCAGCATCCAGCTTAGGAGAACTGTTCAGTGACCTCTTGGCGCAGTTTATCATTGAGCAATCGAAAGATGGAAAAATCGGAACTTTAAATGTCGACTCAAGAAGAGAATGTGGCGTGGTACTTACGGCATCGAGCGACACATCGTCTGCTGTACCCTGTCCACCTAAACCAGCTACCACAGCATCAACCACCAATACTCCATCATCATCAACAGCTCAGTCGTCCTCAGCCACAGTTTCGGCTTCATTACAAACATCATCTACATCAACAGAGTCATCGTCAACAGCCACTGTGCCATCTGCCACAATCACAAATTCAGCGATAGATTCGACGCCTGTTGCCCAGATGACATCTGCCACAATAGCCGATTCAGCATTATCTTCAACACCCATTGCCGAGTCGACGTCTGCCACAATCGCTCCTTCAGCAACATTTACAACTCTTGTTACCAAGACGACATCTGCCTCCATCACAATTTCAGCAGCATCTTCAATTCAGTCATTACTAACAACAACTACTCAATCGACAACTGCCACAACCACTGCATCATCAGCGTCATCTACGCAATCATCGTCAACAGTGACACCTCCATCAACAACTACTACCCACACGATGAGTACAACAACTGCCAAATCATCAGCGTCTTCTACGCTGTCAGCATCAACAATAACACCTTCAGCAACAACTACTACCCAATCGACAACTGCCACAACCCCCCCATCATCAGCATCATCTACGCAAACAACGTCAACAGTGACACCTCCTACAACAACTACTACCCAATCGACGACTACCACAACCCCTCCATCATCTTTACCATCTTCCACGCAGACATCATCAACAGTGACACCTCCGGCAACAACTACTACCCAATCGACAACTCCAACAACTGCTACATCATCATCTACTTCTACGCAGTCATCATCAACAGTGACACCTCTTGCAACAAATACTACCCAAGCCACGACTACCACAACCCCCGCATCATCAGCTACTTCTACGCAGTCATCATCAACAGTGACACCTCCGGCAACAACTACTACCCAATCGACGACTGCCACAACCCCTGCATCATCTTTACCATCTTCCACGCAGTCATCGTCGACAGTGACACCTCCGGTAACAACTACTACCCAATCAACAACTGCCACAACCACCACATCATCATCTACTTCTACGCAGTCATCATCAACACTGACACCTCCGGCAACAACTACTACCCAATCGACGTCTACCACAATCCCCGCATCATCAGCTACTTCTACGCAGTCATCATCATCAGTGACACCTCCTGCAACAACTACTACCCAATCGACGACTGCCACAACCACGACATCATCTTTACCATCTTCCACGCTGTCATCGTCAACAGTGACACCTCCGGCCACAACTACTACCCAAGCCACGACTGCCACAACTGCCACATCATCATCTACTTCTACGCAGTCATCATCAACAGTGACACCGCCAGCAACAACCACTGCCCAATCGACGACTGCCACAACCCCTGCATCATCTTTACCATCTTCCACGCAGACATCATCAACAGTGACACCTCCGGCAACAACTACTACCCAATCGACAACTACCACAACTGCCACATCATCATCTACTTCTACACAGTCATCATCAACAGTGACACCTCCGGCAACAACTACTACCCAATCCACGACTACCACAACCCCCGCATCATCAGCTACTTCTACGCAGTCATCATCAACAGTGACACCTCCGGCAACAACTACTACCCAAGCCACGACTACCACAACCCCTGCATCATCAGCTACTTCAACGCAGTCATCATCATCAGTGACACCGCCAGCAACACCTACTACCCAAACGACGACTGCCACAACCCCTGAATCATCTTTACAATCTTCCACGCAGACATCATCAACAGTGACACCTCCAGCAACAACTACTACCCAATCGACAACTGCCACAACTGCTACATCATCATCTACTTCTACGCAGTCATCATCAACAGTGACACCTCCGGCATCAACTACTACCCAAGCCACGACTACCACAACCCCCGCATCATCAGCTACTTCTACGCAGTCATCATCAACAGTGACACCTCCAGCAACAACTACTACCCAATCGACAACTGCCACAACTGCTACATCATCATCTACTTCTACGCAGTCATCATCAACAGTGACACCTCCGGCATCAACTACTACCCAAGCCACGACTACCACAACCCCCGCATCATCAGCTACTTCTACGCAGTCATCATCAACAGTGACACCTCCTGCAACAACTACTACCCAATCGACGACTGCCACAACCCCTGCATCATCTTTACCATCTTCCACGCAGTCATCATCATCAGTGACACCTCCGGCAACAACTACTACCCAAGCCACGACTACCACAACCCCTGCATCATCAGCTACTTCAACGCAGTCATCATCAACAGTGACACCTCCTGCAACAACCACTGCCCAATCGACGACTGCTACAACCGCTGCATCAACTTTACCGTCTTCTTTACCATCTTCCACGCAATCATCGTCAACAGTGACACCTCCGGCAACAACTACTACCCAATCGACGGCTGCCACAACAACTGCAGCATCTTTACCCTCTTCTACGCAGTCATTGTCAACCGTGACACCTGCGGCAACAACTACTAACCAAGTGTTAACCTCTAACCTCGTGTTTCAAGGTCGCCTACAGTCCAGTCTGCGGGTGACGGATAAGACGTACACGCCTGAACTCTCCAACCCCTCGAGTCCTCAGTTTCAGGAGGAAGCTGCAGAATTCTGCAACCAGGTATGATGAATTAATCAAACCCCCAAGCAGCAATATTAGTTTCATAGTTCACAGGGATGACCCGTGTGGTAATGGCATCTGCGTTTCTCTTACAGATAAACGAGACGTTAGTCGCTGACAGATCCCCTTTGAAGGACCAATACGCTTCCTGTACAGTACTGGAGATAAGGTAATGTCAACAGCAATTTAGACTGTTTGTATTGTCCCGACAGTCGGAAGGGTGGTCTCTTAAATGCCAATGTTTTGACAATATCAAAACCGTACAAGTTTTGAATGGTTACGCCTTGTACAAAATGTCTCTCAGCATTCTACATATCACACGAAACATCAGAAAAGACAAGGCGGAAATAGTAAAAACATACCTCCCTTGCGTTCCATCATAGATTAACCATGAGTTAAAAGATTATTAACACTGACCAGTTTTTTAATGCTTACATATATGTGATGTAATGTTGAGATAATCGACATGTAACTAGTCAATACTTTCTTTCCAGAAACGGCAGTTTGATCTTTATCTACGAGATAGTATTGACACAGCAAGGATCTATCTTGGCAGAACTGTTGAGTGCACTCATGGCGAATTTTATAATTGAGGAATCGAAAGCTGGAAAAATCGGAACTCTAAACGTGGACTCAACAAGAGAATGTGGGGTGTTACTTAGATTGAGCGATACATCTTCTCCTGAACTCTGTCCCCCGAAACCAGCTACTACAGCATCAACTACCAATACCCCATCAACAACTACCACCCAATCGACAACTGCCACAACCCCCGCATCATCAGAGTCTTCTACGCAGTCATCTTCAACACTGACACCTCCTGCAACAACTACTACCGTATCGACGACGGCCACAAGCACTGCTTCATCTTTACCATCTTCCACGCAGTCATCGTCAACAGTGACACCTCCGGCCACAACCACTGCATCATCAGCGTTATCTACGCAGTCATCGTCAACAGTGCCACCTGCCACAACACCTACTACCCAATCGACGATTGCTACAACCACTGCATCATCAGCGTCATCTATGCAATCAACGTCAACAGTGACACCACCAGCAACAACTACTACCCAATCGACGACTGCCACAACAGCCGCATCATCATTACCATCTTCCACGCAGTCATCGTCAACAGTGACACCTCCGGCAACAACTACTACCCAATCGACCACTGCCACAACCACGACATCATCAGCTACTTCTACGCAGTCATCATCAACAATGACACCTCCGGCAACAACTACTACCCAAGCCACGACTACCACAACCCCCGCATCATCAGCTACTTCTACGCAGTCATCATCAACAGTGACACCTCCTGCAACAACTACTACCCAATCGACGACTGCCACAACCCCCGCATCATCAGCTACTTCTCTGCAGTCATCATCAACAGTGACACCTCCTGCAACAACTACTACCCAATCGACGACTGCCACAACCCCTGCATCATCTTTACCATCTTCCACGCAGTCATCGTCAACAGTGACATCTCCGGCAACAACTACTACCCAAGCCACGACTACCACAACCCCCGCATCATCAGCTACTTCTACGCAGTCATCATCATCAGTGACACCTCCTTCAACAACTACTACCCAAGCCACGACTACCACAAACCCCGCATCTTTAGCTACTTCTACACAGTCATCATCATCAGTGACACCTCCAGCAACAACTACTACCCAATCGACGACTGCCACAACACCCCCATCATCAGCCTCTTCTACGCAGTCATCATCAACACTGACAACTCCGACAACAACTACTACATCATCGGCTACTTCTACGCTGTCATCATCAACAGTGACACCTCCAGCAACAACTACTACCCAATCGACGACTGCCACAACCCCCGCATCATCAGCTACTTCTACGCAGTCATCATCAACAGTGACACCTCCTGCAACAACTACTACCCAATCGACGACTGCCACAACCCCCGCATCATCAGCTACTTCTCTGCAGTCATCATCAACAGTGACACCTCCTGCAACAACTACTACCCAATCGACGACTGCCACAACCCCTGCATCATCTTTACCATCTTCCACGCAGTCATCGTCAACAGTGACATCTCCGGCAACAACTACTACCCAATCGACGACTGCCACAACCCCTGCATCATCTTTACCATCTTCCACGCAGTCATCATCATCAGTGACACCTCCGGCAACAACTACTACCCAAGCCACGACTACCACAACCCCCGCATCATTAGCTACTTCTACACAGTCATCGTCAACAGTGACACCTCCAGCAACACCTACTACCCAATCGACGACTGCCACAACCGCCACATCATCAGCTACTTCTACGCTGTCATCGTCAACAGTGACACCTCCGGCAACAACTACTACACAAGCCACGACGGCCACAACCCCTGCATCATCAGTTACTTCTACGCAGTCATCATCAACAGTGACACCTCCGGCAACAACTACTACCCAATCGACGACTGCCACAACAGCTGCATCATCAGCCTCTTCAACGCAGTCATCGTTATCAGTGACACCTCCTGCAACAACCACTGCCCAATCGACGACTGCTACAACCCCTACATCAACTTTACCGTCTTCTTTACCATCTTCCACGCAATCATCGTCAACAGTGACACCTCCGGCAACAACTACTACACAAGCCACGACTACCACAACTCCCGCATCATCAGCTACTTCTACGCAGTCATCATCAACAGTGACACCTCCTGCAACAACTACTACCCAATCGACGACTGCCACAACCCCTGCAGCGTCTTTACCATCTTCCACGCAATCATCGTCAACAGTGACATCTCCGGCAACAACTACAACCCAATCGACGACTGCCACAACTGCCGCATCATCAGCTACTTCTATGCTGTCATCGTCAATGGTGACACCTCCGGCAACAACTACTACGCAATCGACCACTGCCATGACCCCTGAATCATCCTTACCATCTTCAACACAATCATCATCAACAGTGACACCTCCGGCAACAACTACTACCCAATCGACGACTGCCACAACCCCTGCAGCGTCTTTACCATCTTCACGCAATCATCGTCAACAGTGACACCTCCGGCAACAACTACAACCCAATCGACGACTACCACAACCCCCGCATCATCAGCTACTTCTACGCAGTCATCATCAACAGTGACACCTCCTGCAACAACTACTACCCAATCGACGACTGCCACAACCCCTGCATCATCTTTACCATCTTCCACGCAGTCATCGTCAACAGTGACATCTCCGGCAATAACTACTACCCAAGCCACGACTGCCACAACCCCCGCAGCATCAGCTACTTCTACACAGTCATCATCATCAGTGACACCTCCGGCAACAAGTACTACCCAATCGACGACTGACACAACCCCTGCATCATCTTTACCATCTTCCACGCAGACATCATCAACAGTGACACCTCCGGCAACAACTACTACCCAATCGACAACTGCCACAACTTCCACATCATCATCTACTTCTACGCAGTCATCATCAACAGTGACACCTCCGGCAACAACTACTACCCAATCGACGACTGCCACAACCCCCGCATCATCAGCTACTTCTACGCAGTCATCATCAACAGTGACACCTCCTGCAACAACTACTACCCAATCGACGACTGCCACAACCCCCGCATCATCAGCTACTTCTCTGCAGTCATCATCAACAGTGACACCTCCTGCAACAACTACTACCCAATCGACGACTGCCACAACCCCTGCATCATCTTTACCATCTTCCACGCAGTCATCGTCAACAGTGACATCTCCGGCAACAACTACTACCCAATCGACGACTGCCACAACCCCTGCATCATCTTTACCATCTTCCACGCAGTCATCATCATCAGTGACACCTCCGGCAACAACTACTACCCAAGCCACGACTACCACAACCCCCGCATCATTAGCTACTTCTACACAGTCATCGTCAACAGTGACACCTCCAGCAACACCTACTACCCACCGACGACGACTGCCACAACCGCCACATCATCAGCTACTTCTACGCTGTCATCGTCAACAGTGACACCTCCGGCAACAACTACTACACAAGCCACGACGGCCACAACCCCTGCATCATCAGTTACTTCTACGCAGTCATCATCAACAGTGACACCTCCGGCAACAACTACTACCCAATCGACGACTGCCACAACAGCTGCATCATCAGCCTCTTCAACGCAGTCATCGTTATCAGTGACACCTCCTGCAACAACCACTGCCCAATCGACGACTGCTACCAACCCTACATCAACTTTACCGTCGTCTTTACCATCTTCCACGCAATCATCGTCAACAGTGACACCTCCGGCAACAACTACTACACAATGCCACGACTACCACAACTCCCGCATCATCAGCTACTTCTACGCAGTCATCATCAACAGTGACACCTCCTGCAACAACTACTACCCAATCGACGACTGCCACAACCCCTGCAGCGTCTTTACCATCTTCCACGCAATCATCGTCAACAGTGACATCTCCGGCAACAACTACAACCCAATCGACGACTGCCACAACTGCCGCATCATCAGCTACTTCTATGCTGTCATCGTCAATGGTGACACCTCCGGCAACAACTACTACGCAATCGACCACTGCCATGACCCCTGAATCATCCTTACCATCTTCAACACAATCATCATCAACAGTGACACCTCCGGCAACAACTACTACCCAATCGACGACTGCCACAACCCCTGCAGCGTCTTTACCATCTTCCACGCAATCATCGTCAACAGTGACACCTCCGGCAACAACTACAACCCAATCGACGACTACCACAACCCCCGCATCATCAGCTACTTCTACGCAGTCATCATCAACAGTGACACCTCCTGCAACAACTACTACCCAATCGACGACTGCCACAACCCCTGCATCATCTTTACCATCTTCCACGCAGTCATCGTCAACAGTGACATCTCCGGCAATAACTACTACCCAAGCCACGACTGCCACAACCCCCGCAGCATCAGCTACTTCTACACAGTCATCATCATCAGTGACACCTCCGGCAACAAGTACTACCCAATCGACGACTGACACAACCCCTGCATCATCTTTACCATCTTCCACGCAGACATCATCAACAGTGACACCTCCGGCAACAACTACTACCCAATCGACAACTGCCACAACTTCCACATCATCATCTACTTCTACGCAGTCATCATCAACAGTGACACCTCCTGCAACAACTACTACCAAAGCCACGACTACCACAACCCCCGCATCATCAGCTACTTCTACGCAGTCATCATCAACAGTGACACCTCCGGCAACACCTACTACCCAATCGACGACTGCCACAACCACTGCATCATCTTTACCATCTTCCACGCAGTCATTGTCGACAGTGTCACCTCCTGCAACAACTACTACCCAATCGACGACTGCCACAACCGCCACATCATCAGTTACTTCTGCGCAGTCATCATCAACAGTGTCACCTCCAGCAACAACTACTACCCAAGCCACGAATACCACAACCCCCGTATCATCAGCTACTTCTACACAGTCATCATCAACAGTGACACCCCCGGCAACAACTACCACCCAATCGACAACTGCCACAAGTGCCACATCATCACCTACTTCTACGCAGTCATCATCAACAGTGTCACCTCCGGCAACAACTACTACCCAAGCTACGACTACCACAAGCCCCGCATCATCAGCTACTTCTACGCAGTCATCATCATCAGTGACACCTCCTTCAACAACTACTACCCAAGCCACGACTACCACAACCCCAACATCATCAGCCTCTTCTACGCAGTCATCATCATCCCTGACACCTCCGGCTACAACTACTACCCAATCGACGACTGCCACAACCGCCACATCATCAGCTACTTCTACGCTGTCATCGTCAACAGTGACACCTCCGGCAACAACTACTACACAAGCCACGACGGCCACAACCCCTGCATCATCAGTTGCTTCTACGCAGTCATCATCAACAGTGACACCTCCGGCAACAACTACTACCCAATCGACGACTGCCACAACAGCTGCATCATCAGTGTCTTCAACGCAGTCATCGTTATCAGTGACACCTCCTGGAACAACCACTGCCCAATCGACGACTGCTACAACCCCTACATCAACTTTACCGTCTTCTTTACCATCTTCCACGCAATCATCGTCAACAGTGACACCTCCGGCAACAACTACTACACAAGCCACGACTACCACAACCCCCGCATCATCAGCTACTTCTACGCAGTCATCATCAACAGTGACACCTCCTGCAACAACTACTACCCAATCGACGACTGCCACAACCCCTGCAGCGTCTTTACCATCTTCCACGCAATCATCGTCAACAGTGACACCTCCGGCAACAACTACAACCCAATCGACGACTGCCACAACTGCCGCATCATCAGCTACTTCTATGCTGTCATCGTCAATGGTGACACCTCCGGCAACAACTACTACGCAATCGACCACTGCCATGACCCCTGAATCATCCTTACCATCTTCAACACAATCATCATCAACAGTGACACCTCCGGCAACAACTACTACCCAATCGACGACTGCCACAACCCCTGCAGCGTCTTTACCATCTTCCACGCAATCATCGTCAACAGTGACACCTCCGGCAACAACTACAACCCAATCGACGACTACCACAACCCCCGCATCATCAGCTACTTCTACGCAGTCATCATCAACAGTGACACCTCCTGCAACAACTACTACCCAATCGACGACTGCCACAACCCCTGCAGCGTCTTTACCATCTTCCACGCAATCATCGTCAACAGTGACACCTCCGGCAACAACTACAACCCAATCGACGACTGCCACAACTGCCGCATCATCAGCTACTTCTATGCTGTCATCGACAATGGTGACACCTCCGGCAACAACTACTACGCAATCGACCACTGCCATGACCCCTGAATCATCCTTACCATCTTCAACACAATCATCATCAACAGTGACACCTCCGGCAACAACTACTACCCAATCGACGACTGCCACAACCCCTGCAGCGTCTTTACCATCTTCCACGCAATCATCGTCAACAGTGACACCTCCGGCAACAACTACAACCCAATCGACGACTACCACAACCCCCGCATCATCAGCTACTTCTACGCAGTCATCATCAACAGTGACACCTCCTGCAACAACTACTACCCAATCGACGACTGCCACAACCCTGCAGCGTCTTTTACCATCTTCCACGCAATCATCGTCAACAGTGACACCTCCGGCAACAACTACAACCCATCGACGACTGCCACAACTGCTGCGCATCATCAGCTACTTCTATGCTGTCATCGACAATGGTGACACCTCCGGCAACAACTACTACGCAATCGACCACTGCCATGACCCCTGAATCATCCTTACCATCTTCAACACAATCATCATCAACAGTGACACCTCCGGCAACAACTACTACCCAATCGACGACTGCCACAACCCCTGCAGCGTCTTTACCATCTTCCACGCAATCATCGTCAACAGTGACACCTCCGGCAACAACTACAACCCAATCGACGACTACCACAACTGCCGCATCATCAGCTACTTCTATGATGTCATCGTCAATGGTGACACCTCCGGCAACAACTACTACGCAATCGACCACTGCCATGACCCCTTCATCATCCTTACCATCTTCAACACAATCATCATCAACAGTGACACCTCCGGCAACAACTACTACCCAATCGACGACGGCCACAACAGCTGCATCATCAGTGTCTTCTACGCAGTCATCATCAACAGAAACACCTGCGGCAACAACTACTTCCCAATCGGCCACTGCCACAACCCCTGCATCACCAATGACTTCTACGCAGTCATCGTCAACACTGACACCTCCTGCAACAACCACTGCCCAATCGACGACTGCTACAACCGTTGCATCAACTTTACCGTCTTCTTTACCATCTTCCACGCAATCATCGTCAACAGTGACACCTCCGGCAACGACTACTACACAATCGACGACTGCCACAACTGCCGCTTCATCAGCTACTTCTACGCAGTCATCGTCAATGATGACACCTCCGGCAACAACTACTACGCAATCTACCACTGCCACAACCCCTGCATCATCTTTACCATCTTCCACACAGTCATCATCAACAGTGGCAACTCCGGCAACAACTACTACACAATCGACGACTGCCACAACCGCCACATCATCAGCTACTTCTACGCAGTCATCATCAACAGTGACACCTCCGGCTACAACTACTACTGAAACGACAACTGCCACATTCCCCCCATAATCAGCGTCTTCTACGCAGTCATCGTCAACAGTGACACCTCCTGCAACAACAACTGCCCGATCGACGACTGCTGCAACCACCTCTTCAACAGATACTTCTACGCAGTCATCGTCAACACTGACACCTCCTGCAACAACTACTACTCAATCGACGACTGCCACAACTGCCACATCACCTTTACCATCTTCCACGCAGGCAACGTCGTCTGTGACATCTCCGGCAACAACAAGTACCGTGCCATCTGTGACACCTTGCTTTTGCTAACCAGTGGCAGGAAACTGTCAATTTGTCTTAACAAATGAAGGAAAAACCATTGAAATACTTACTAGTAGCACAGTGATTTGAGTTTCTTTTGAATTATTCCCGCATTGTTTTGTCGAAAGTGATATGAACCGTTTGTCATGGTGTCAGTGTTTGGAACACTGAGACGCTTTACGTGTGTTTTACAGTTGGAATGACCACAATGACCACTGCTTTCATTCATTAAGACTTGTTGTAGGTAACGTTTTGCTTGAGGCACTTGTCCTTGTGTACGCATGTGTTTTGTCTGCTGAGAACTATGGGACTGATGCATGTTTAGAAAATGTGATAACTCCAACCTTGAGTCACCAACAGAGAGACAAATTGGAAAAAGAATTAGACATAAACGAAATATCATTGGCAATAAAAAGTATGAAAAATAACAAAAGCCCAGGTATAGATGGATTTCCCAATTGATTTCTTTAAATTCTTCTGGAAAGAACTAAAGGTCTCGATTTTCAGATTTATCAAAGATGTATCAAAACGAAATAAGATGTCTCTTACCATGAAGAGAGGAGTTATCACTTGTATACCTAAAGCTAATAAAATAGGAACTTATTGAAGAATTGGAGACCACTACTTTATTAAATGCTCTGTATAAATTAATAAGCGCATGTATCTCAAATCGGTTAAAAACTACCCTTGATTCCCTGATACATAACAACCAGACTGGATTCATACCCGGCAGAACATTAAGTGAAAACACAGGACTTTTATATGACATTATGTTTGAAACTAAGAAAAGAGACATGGCAGGTTTATTAATTTTGATCGATTTCGAAAAAGCATTTGACACAGTTTCTAAAGATTTGATCAATTCTGTCCTAATAAAATTTGGTTTTGGTCCAAAGATTATATGTTGGATTAACGTCTTAACATATGACACAACTTCATGTGTTATTCAGAATGGGCATCTCTCTGATTTCTTCCAAAATCAACGGGGTTGTAGGCAAGGGGATCCCATATCTCCATATCTATTTCTTTTTGTTGCTGAAATCCTAGGATGTATGATAAGGCAACATGAAACTATAAAGGGTATTGTAATTGATGATCAAGAATACAAATTAGGTGCAGATGATACTGAATTATTTTTTGATGGCTCAGATGAAAACTTGTATTCTGCTATAGACACACTTAATACATTTTACAACATGTCAGGACTAAAGATAAACATAGATAAGACTAAAGCAATCTGGATTGGCTCAAAAGCTGGTAGCAGGGATATACTATGTGAAGATTTGAATATACAATGGCAAAGAAAACAATTTGAAGTATTAGGAATTAAATTTACTCCGGATTTGAATGATTTATGGGTTATTAACACAAAGAAAAGACTAGAAGAAATTAATAGATTACTAGCAACTTGGAGAAAAAGACATTTGACGCTGATAGGGAAAATTACTGTTATTAAGACATTGGCTCTTTCAAAATTAGTTCATATTTTTAACACTTTACCTAACCCTCCAGATGATTTTCTCACCGCGCTTGAGAGAGTATTTTTTAAATTCATCTGGAATGACAAAAATGACAAAATCAAACGGAGCACTTTAAAAAAAGATTACAAAATGGGGGGGCTACGGATGATTGATATTAAAACCTTTGTTAACGCCATGAAATTATCTACACTCAAACTATACTTAAAAAACAAATCCGGATAACCCATGCAATTTTCCTTTTAAGGATATGCTAAAATATGGAGCAAATTTTCAGAATATAGTTGCAGTTGATAATCCTTTTTGGAAAGACGTATTAAAAGCATGGAAATTATATTGTATCAAAAATACCATAGATGCAGAGAACATTAACGAAATCTTAGCCCAACCTTTATGGTTGAATAACAATTTTAAAAACTCAAATCACATCATTAGTCACTGGGCTAAAAGTGGAATCTTGACGATCAAAGATCTTTGTGATGAACATGGGTTTATATCCTTTGATCAATTGAAGCTTAAATTTGATATAAAAGGTACTCACTTAGATCTTGGATATGTTATATATATTTTACCTGAACCTTGGAAAAAGACTTTAAAGGAATATAGATATATAAACATTAATGACCTCACAATAAATTCACTCCAAAAGGATTTCATATCCCCAAGAAAAGGTTCAAGATTATTTTATGATAAATTGTTATCTGAAAATGTTAAACCTCACATGTGCCAAAAATGGGAAACATTATTTGACTGTATTGATTTTGATTGGCATTTGATTTTTCATACTTGTAGAAAAAATTTAAGAGATGTGAAACTGTTAGATTTTCAATATAAATTTCTGCACGGAATTGTTTATACCAAAAAAGAACTTTTTAGAATGAATCTGGTGGACAATACAATATGTTCTTTGTGTAATGATTCTGTTGAAACTTTATGCCATGTATATTGGGAATGTGATGAAACCAAAACTTTCTGGAAGAAACTTGAACAGTGGATTACGAAACGTATCCAAACACTTAATTTGACAAAATCTTTGATTTGGTTTGGCTTTTTAGGTAAGAACCCATTATTGAACCACATAATCTTATCTGCTAAGAGATATATTTACACTTGCTCTTTGACAAAAACAATTCCAAAAGTTGATAATTACTTAAGGATATTGAAAGACATATTTACCACTGAATCATTCATTGCCAGAAGAAATAATAATGTTGAAAGCTTTTTAGTCAAATGGTTTCCTCTCATCCCTGAATTTAACCCTGAATGACTATTAAACAAAGAACATATCACTAACATTGATATTCAATGCACTTAGTGTACTATATCGCTATTGAGCCCACTAGCTTGTATGTGCACACATTCCTCTATATGCTTGTACTCATCATGTTTTTGTACTCATCACATTGGGAACAATAAAAAACACACTTTGAATCAATGATGCATCTTAAACATCGACACAGTTAGTATCGTATCAACTCATATCAACCTTCATGCAGCCTTATGTGAAATGAAGTTTGGGTCTGTTTCTCGGTCGTTTCCTAATTATCATATCTAAGTATGCGAGTACATTTGTTTTGCAAACCTCCGATATATGACCTTTCCAAGAAGATATAGTGTAATATTTATGTCGCTTCTGTTCACAAAACGGTCTTGTAAAGACTTATTTTTGATTTCCCATGACTGTGATTATAATAACATTAGCATTTAATGGATCTGCACACGGTTGACATTGCTAACAGGAGTGACTGCTGATTTCGTGATAAATTTAACACAACAACTCAGGTGGAACACATTCTCTAAACAAAAAGGTAGCTGTGAACAAACTCTGATTCAGTCCAGTAGATATGTGAGACAAATTTATAGAGGAAATATTTTGTCATTGTGTTAGACGACACAGAAGAGCAAAGACCATATCAGTCGCAAATGTGGAACCCCTTCTTCTGTGCAAGCACATACATATGCATGGTAAAATTCCGTATGCATTATAGGCAAGCAAAGATTAGAACATCTGCCTGTCTCTATCCCATGCCTTTATCGATACATAAGGTTTGTTTGCAAATTGCTAGATACCACCAGGTGTGTCATTCTAACCAAGTGTTTGATATCGCATCCTACATACAAAGTGTTTGAGATTCCGCCCTAGATCTCCGGGGCGTGACATCCTGTCAGAGTCTCATGGTTCAGTTAATAGCCACCAGGTTGATTGCTTGAACTCATTCATGCAAACTCCAGTAATTCATATTTAACATGACGATGGTAGGTCTTCATAAGCTGGCTAATACTTGGTTTGGTCTGAGGTGGGGTGAACCGTCACGCTATGTGAACTGATGCATCAAACATGCCCAAGTCATACAGGTTTTGACAGGATACTCATGTCACTGAAATGAAACCATTAAGAAACACGAAATACCGTGTTATCCTTATACGGGGTTTGTGCTTGACTGTCCCAGATCGAAGTGTTCGATACAAGTGTCACACCTAATATACCTCACAGAAGCACCTCCAATCAAGATTTCATCTTAAGCTGTTATAATCAAGTTGAACGTTGCAAATGTATAATCACATGTGCTCACAGTGTGTGACGGTTAAGTGTGATTATTTATCGGATTTCAAAGGTCCTTGTCTGTTACAATGAAGCTCCGACACTACTTTTTCTCTGAAAAACTCTGCCACAATTCCTTCGTTTGATTTCAATTCTTGTAGATCTTAAAATAGATCTACTTAAATCTTGTAGATAGAACCTTTTCCATGTCAACCCAATTGAAGATCGATGTCCACCTTAGTACCTGAATAAAATAATATCAGTTTGCAGCTCGAGGTTATGAAAACAAACACGTTGCTCAATGTGAAGAATGTTTCCGTATACTTCCATCCCAGTTGTTATCGGAAGTCTTCGGTTCGGCGGTTAAAAGCAACTACTGGGTCGTTGATACATCCTGAACTGTGTTTACTGCCCTT